ATTCCCAGGTGGGGGGATGGATAAACTAGGGCCATGCTGCCCCAGTTGATCAACATTCTTCCAACAACAGAAAACATATAGCAGTGAACTAAGCACTAAAGTCATTCCTGATCCAGATATAGAACCCCCATACAGTGTTCCTCCATTTACAGGTTTGGGCTCCGAGTCATTTCTGTCCGATGGGAGCAATAATTAAAACATGCAAGCCGTTATTACAACTTACAGTTCTGTTATAACATGTACAACATGAAAGCAAACTGGACCAAGTGAAAAGAGTCCAGTTTTGGTCAAGATCAAAAATGCAGGCTAACGAGTTTTTCTAGTGTGAATACACCATTGGCCCAGTTATTTGATCAGGACCAGGGTTCTCTTGAATGTATTTACTCCAAAATAGAACCCCCCGAATCCATACAACAGCAATTCAAATTAAGGCTATTACCTTCACCCCCTTAAGTCTTATACAAGACTGCTTTTACCACTAAAGATTTTTTTTTATTTATTTTATTTAACCTTTATTTAAACAGGAAGTCCCTTGAGATTGAAATCTCTTTTTCGAGGGAGACCTGGCCAAGACGGCACACCAGTTAAAATACAAACAGAAATACAACATAGACAAAATCTCACATAGAGGAAAAGACAGGTCACATAGGGCAGTTACATTTTTGAATTACATGACATTTTAACATGGCCTTAAATTCATTCAATGGGACTAGATCATTTAAATGGAGCAAGTTTTGCAAATTATTCCAGGACCATGGGGCAAAGTAAGAGAAGGATTTCTTCCCCAGCTCAGTAAAAACCATTGGAACCTGGTAAGAGCGTCACCTGGTGGAACGGAGATGAAAATGGCTGGAATTTAGCTTGAGGAGATTACATAAATATGCCGGCAGTTTACCCAACATGGCCTTGTATAGAAAAATATACAAATGAAGTTGTCTACGTAGACTAAGTGACGGCCAGCCTACCAGTTCATACAGCGTACAATGATGAGTACGGGAAAAGGAGTTAGTTAAAGGAGAAGTCCGGTTTTTTACACTTTAAGCCCATTTTCTGTAGTGTCCAGGATGAAATCGAATGATCGACACCAAAAGTTTGACAATTGCTCCTGTCTCTGCTTTTTGGCTCATTTAGAATCACCCCCTGGCTGCTTTAGAATGGCTAGCATAGAGCATGTCCGATAATGTCCTTAAAACAACCTTAAACGTTCTTTTTTTAAAATATGCTACTCAGCCGGGTCGTCAGCGCTGTTCAATGACATTCCAAAAAAAGTTTCGTGAAGAAAAAACGTTCCTGTAGTGTTTTATTTAGCATTTTGTAAATCCCATTGAGTTCTGTAGGAATAGTCAATATTCCGCTGCCACTGGAAACGGAAATGGGGCCTGTTTACACAGTTGTAGTCTTTTCGCTTCACTCTGTGTACTCCGACGTCGAGGTGCTAACGTCTCTGTTAAACACTTTAAAAAACTCTGAAAATGGAATACGAAAGGTGGATTCTTGATTCTCGACGTCGGAGTACACAGAGTGAAGCGAAAAGACTACAACTGTGTAAACAGGCCCCATTTCCGTTTCCGGTGGCAGCGGAATATTGACTATTCCTACAGAACTCAATGGGATTTACAAAATGCTAAATAAAACACTACAGGAACGTTTTTTCTTTACGAAACTTTTTTTGGAACGTCATTGAACAGCGCTGACGACCCGGTGAGTAGCATATTTTAAAAAAAGAACGTTTAAGGTTGTTTTAAGGACATTATCGGACATGCTCTATGCTAGCCATTCTAAAGCAGCCAGGGGGTGATTCTAAATGAGCCAAAAAGCAGAGACAGGAGCAATTGTCAAACTTTTGGTGTCGATCATTCGATTTCATCCTGGACACTACAGAAAATGGGCTTAAAGTGTAAAAAACCGAACTTCTCCTTTAAGAAGCACAAAGCACTATGGTACACAGAATCTAACAGGTGGAGAGTACTAGAGGCAGCATGCATGTAGACAACATCACCATAGTCCAAAACACTTAAAAAAAGTAGCCTGCACAAGTGTTTTTCTGGCTGACATCCTAACCAACATAATAAAACCCTGGTTAGAGGACATTTTTGGTCTTCTAAGACTAGAGAGAATTTAATCCATACTGATTAATCTGTCTGGTTCTATTGTCACTGGAGAGCACCACATAGTTTATTTGATGGGCGGCTGTCTCGGCTCAGGAGGTTTCCCTGTCGAGAACCTTATGGCCGAGTCCAGCTCTTAGTACTGGTCCTTCAGCAAATCTAAAGTTGTTGGTTGTTTAATAAAGGTTCAAAAGCCTCCCTTTTTATGAAATTAAACCAGTCGAAACTAAAATCTTTCCACTTGAGGAGCTCTGCATTGTGCATATTGACCGACGAAAAAGTTGTTTTTTCATCTGAAATGCAAAATGTTTATATACACTACCGTTCAAAGGTTTGTGGTGACCCAAACAATTTTGTGTTTTCCTGAAAAGTCACACTTATTCACCACCACACGTTGTGAAATGAATAGAAAATAGAGTCAAGACATTGACAAGGTTAGAAATAATGATTTGTATTTGAAATAAGATTTTTTTTTACATCAAACTTTGCTTTCGTCAAAGAATCCTCCATTTGCAGCAATTACAGCATTGCAGACCTTTGGCATTCTAGCTGTTAATTTGTTGAGGGAATCTGGAGAAATTGCACCTCACGCTTCCAGAAGCAGCTCCCACAAGTTGGATTGTTAGATGGGCACTTCTTGCGTACGATATGGTCAAGCTGCTCCCACAACAGCTAAATGGGGTTCAGATGTGGTTACTGCGCTGGCCACTCCATTACCGAAATAGTTCTTGCACAATTTGGAGGTGTGTTTAGGGTCATTGTCCTGTTGTAAGATGAAATTGGCTCCAATCAATCACTGTCCACTGGGTAAGGCATGGCGTTGTAAAATGGAGTGATAGCCTTCCTTATTCAGAATCCAGTCTCAGATATGGCTTTTTCTTTGCCACTCTGCCCTGAAGCCCAGAATCCCGCAACCGCCTCTTCACTGTAGATGTTGACACTGGTATTTTGCGGGTACTATTTAATGAAGATGCCAGTTGGGGACCTGTGACGCGTCTGTTTCTCAAACTAGAGACTCTAATGTACTTATTTTCTTGCTCAGTTGTGCAACGCGGCCTCCCGTTTCTTTTTCTACTCTGGTTAGAGCCTGTTTGTGCTGTCCTCTGAAGGGAGTAGTACACACCGTTGTAGGAAATCTTCAATTTCTTAGCAATTTCTCGCATGGAATAGCCTTCACTTCTAAGAACAAGAATAGACTGTCGAGTTTTAGATGAAAGTTCTCTTTTTCTGGCCATTTTGAGTGTTGAATTGACCCCACAAATGTGATGCTCCAGAAAATCAATCTGCTCAAAGGAAGGCCAGTTTTGTAGCTTCTATAACGAGCTAAACTGTTTTCAGATGTGTGAACATGATTGCAGAAGGGTTTTCTAAACATCAATTAGCCTTCTGAGCCAATGAGCAAACACACTGTACCATTAGAACACTGGAGTGATAGTTGCTGGAAATGGGCCTCTATACACCTATGTAGATATTGCACCAAAAACCAGACATTTGCAGCTAGAATAGTCATTTACCACATTAGCAATGTATAGAGTGTATTTCTTTAAAGTTAAGACTAGTTTAAAGTGATCTTCATTGAAAAGTACAGTGCTTTTCCTTAAAAAATAAGGACATTTCAATGTGACCCCAAACTTTTGAACGGTAGTGTATTTTTTTTTACAATTTTGGTGCAATCACTGCTCTGTGTTGGTTTCTCTGTCAGCTAAAGGTCTGTTTTAAAGTCTCTATACTCAATTTAACGATCAATAGCTCACTAAATTAGTTGACAATTATTTCAGTTATCGATTAATCATGATTAAACCAATTAATTGCTTTAGCTCTAAACTTTTAGTGTTGTTAATCTCTCTTAGCATTGGTTACTAAAAAGAAATAAAACATTATGTCACCATGTAGGCAGGGAGCGACATGTTTTGGCTTCTTAAATGAGTATTCTGTTTAACAGGGGAGATTCTTTGAATTGAGTGTGAAAAGACAGCAGTAGGCGTACGGGTAAGTGCAAGTTTCAAACTAAAACATTTGGTAATTACCTCTTTGGCTCTTCTCATGCCTTTTCCTATCTCTGCTCACTGCTTCTGCCCTTAAATTTGAGCTGGTTTATCTGTGGAAAGTGTTACATGCATTTAAATTAAAACTTAATTTGGATCATTTGCATCCTCAAATTGACAAGAGTGCAGAAAAACGTTTGGTTATCTAACATAACCCCAGTTCTTAGAATAATATGAGCGAGGTGTCTCGCTATGGGATGCAGCCTCCTGCAGCCCTGATAGAAGCATCTATCTCAATCTGCCAATCCTGATTGGCCGGTGGAAGTGCCCGTCATACGCCACGCCCCGTAGCTCCGACTACTAAAGCGTGTGCGGATCACGGCACTCCAATTCAACAAGCAAACCTCTTCTCGCCGCCCTGCAAGAAGGGTCGTCTGGCGAGACACCTCGCTCATATTATTCTAAGAACTGGGGTTATGTTAGATAACCAAACGTTCTTTTTCATAATATTCACTCGGTGTCTCGCTATGGGATATGGTAGCTCCCGTATTGCCAGACAGCTTATCGAACAAGAACCGGCCGATGGGGAAGGTCCACAGGGTCAGTTATGACTCTAGGACCGCACTGGCCACGCACGGTCCAGACACGTCAAGCATGTAGAACCGGACAAAAGTCAGAGGCGAAGACCAATTCGCCGCTGAACAAATGTCCTGAACGGACACTCCCCGAAATAAAGCCCAGGACGCAGCCATCCCGCGGGTAGAGTGTGCACGCAGACCCGCCGGGGGCTGCAGACCCCTGCTTCCATACGCCAAAGCTATAGCCTCCACCACCCAGTGGGCGAGGTGTTGCTTTGTGATCGGCTGCCCCTTACGGGGCTCCGCCCAGGAGACAAAGAGCTGATCACTCATCCTGAAGCTCTGCGTCCTGTCCATATAAGAGCGCACGGCTCGAACAGGGCACAGCGTGCGGCTCGCCGTTCACCTGGGGAGGCGGCGAACGCCGCTAGCTCGATCGGTGAACAAGAACCAACCACTTTAGGAACAAAGGCCGGGTTGGGCTTCAGAACCATACGCGTGTATTCCGGGTCGAACCGGGTACATGCGGGGTTCATAGAGAGCGCATGAATGTCGCTGACTCGTTTCGCAGAGGCCAGGGCCAGTAACAGCACTGTCTTGAGAGACAGATGTTTAAGACTGGACCCCAACAACGGTTCAAATGGGGGTCCCTTAAGCCCCTCCAGAACCACCGACAAATCCCACGGAGGCAGCAAAGGTCTGGAGACGGGGAGGAGCCTGCGGGCGCCCTTCATAAACCGACAAACCAAAGGGTGTTGGCTCGCCGTTTTGTCTCCAAATCCTATATGGCATGCTGCTATAGCTGCCAGATAAACCTTAACCGTGGAAAAAGCTTTTCCTTTATCAATCAGTTCCTGTAAAAACGACAGAATCGCTGGTACAGAACACTGAAAAGGAACGTAGTCCCGTTCAAGACACCACCGCTCAAACAGTCCCCACTTGGAGCCATATAGGTTCCTAGTGGAGGGAGCCCTGGCGTTTTGTATAGTATTAATTACACTCTGAGGGAGCCCGGCAGTGGTTAAATTAAGCCACTCACGGGCCAGGCCCACAGCTGCAGTCGCTCCGGGTGTGGGTGGAACACTGTCCCCGCACCCTGCGAGAGCAGGTCCCTGCGCAGCGGCAGCTCCCAAGGCTGGGCGCACAGCAACTGGAATATCTCCGCCAGCCAGTGTTGCGCTGGCCAGTGCGGAGCTATTAGGATCAGTCTGTGATTGAATGCCCTCACTCTGGCGAGAGTGGGGGGTATCAGGGCCAGCGGTGGAAACGCGTATAGCAGCTCATGCGGCCAGGCGTGCGCTAGTGCGTCTACGCCCAGAGGGGCATTCAGAGTGCTCAGAGAGAAGAACAGCTCGCATCGAGCGTTTTCCCTGGACGCGAACAGATCTATCTGAGCGCGCCCGTAGCGCGCCCATATCTGCTCCACGACCTGTGGGTGCAGCGTCCATTCCCCGTACACTGGCGCGCCTCTGGACAGCAGGTCCGCACCCGTGTTCAAGTCTCCCGGGACGTGCGTCGCTCTCAGGGAGAGAAAGTGGGCACTGCTCCAGAGAATCAGGTCGCGCGCCAGATTGTGCAACATGCGGGAGCGCAGGCCCCCTTGGCGGTTGATATACGCCACTGTTGTCGTGTAGTCCGTCCTCACCAGGACATGGTGACCCGAGAGGAATGGGAGGAAGTGTCTCAGAGAAAGAAACACCGCCGAAAGTTCGAGAAAGTTTATGTGAAGGCGCTGGAGGGCCTGGCTCCAGCGACCCCTCACAGACCTGCCCTCGTGAATGCCGCCCCAGCCTGATAGGCTGGCATCCGTGGTTACCACTTTCCTGGACGAGATGGTGCCCATAGGCACCCCTTGGGTCAGGAAGGACGGGGCTCGCCAACAGCGCAGAGCTGTTATACAGTCCGCTGTGACCGTTATCCGCCGTGCGCCATGACGCACGGGGTCCATTCGGAGCGAAGCGACCCAGCGCTGAAAGTCCCGCATGTGAAGGCGGCCGAGGCGAATCACGAGGATGGCTGAGGCCATCAGACCCAGCAACCGAAGGCACAGTCTGAACTGGACAGACCTGTGCAGACGGAATTGTGCAAGGCACGCTCTGAAAGCCGTCACTCTTTCCTCTGACAGGCGGGCTGTGAACGGAACAGAGCGCAGGGATAATCCCAGAAAGCATATCTCCTGCGTTGGAGATAGGTGGCTTTTTTCCATATTTATTACAAAACCCAAATCCGTCAGGTGTTTTGTGACAATGTGTGTGTGAACCCTGGCTTCCTGTTCTGACTGCGCTAACAGGAGCCAGTCGTCTAAATACGTGGCCAGACGTATCCCCCGGCGTCTGAGCGGGGCTACCGCGGCCTCTGTGCACCGTATGAAAACCCTCGGACTGAGAGACAGACCGAATGGTAGAACACGGTATTCGTAACACACCCCTTGAAAGGCAAATCGGAGATATTGTCTGTGAGGGGGATAAATGGGAATGTGGAAATACGCGTCTTTCAGATCCACGGACGAAAACCAGTCGTTCGGTCTTACTAGACGCAACAGTGCTGCATGTGTCAGCATCCTGAACTTGTATTTCCGCAGGAATTTGTTCAGGGCTCTTAAGTCCAGAATAGGGCGGATTCCTCTCCCGCCCCGTTTGGGGACGAGGAAGTATCTGGAATAAAACCCTGACAGACTCTGTTCGGGAGATACGACAGAAACTGCTCGTTTGTCTATCAGAGAGAGAATTTCCTCCCGTAAAACTCGAGCTGATTCTCCCTGTGTATGTGAGTGTATTACACCGGAGAAGCGGGGAGGGACAGTGGCGAATTGAAGCCTGTATCACCGGGAAATTGTGCGCAACACCCACGGTGGAGCTGCTGCTGCTCTCCAGCTTTCCCATCTGAGAGAAAGCGGGGGAACATATTGCGGCTCCTGCCCCGCGCCCCCCTGTGGTGGAACCGAGAAATGATTCTCGGGCATCACCGGAGGCACGGTGGGGCGCTCTGCTCTGCTCCGCGGGGACGGCGGTGCCCGTCCCGGGAGCAGAGCTGCAGGGGGCTGAGCGGCCACCCTGCTTATGGAGAGAGCATTGTCTGTTTTGGCTTTTTTTATTATCTGCACCCTCGGCTCGTGGCCTGGCTGTGACAGATTTATTATTTTTATTTTGACACCATTTTTTCTTTGAACAAGGGTGTGTGACTGTGCTTGTGGACATTCCGCTCGGGGCGCAACCGCGCAGACCTCCGGGGCGATGTCCTTCTCCTCGCGGACCGGCTCTGGGATGGGCAACGGTGGCGTGGGGTGCGCACAAACAAGCCAAAACGGTGGGCCTGCGCAACAGCAGGCTGCACCAACTGAGGAACTGGCGGCTGTCAGGCCGCCCTCTTTTTCTTCCTCGCCTGTGGGACCGAGCTCGCGGCGGCTGTGGGCGGCGGCGGCGTTGCGGTCGTGGAGGCAGGTTTCCCCTGCCAGCCGGCTCCGCGCTCCTTCCTCATCGGAGGGGGCGGACCTGGCGGTGGTGGCCGTCTTGGTACCTTAAAACGCGGCGGCTGGGAGGCTGCATGCGCAAAGGTTTTGCGTTGCACCGGAGGTGAAGGCGCAGGGGCTTTCCGAGGGAGACAAAGTTTGAGGGCCTCGTTGTCCTTTTTCTTTGCCTCACATCTTTGCTGCATTGTGGCCAATGCAGAGCCGAAGATGCCTTCAGGGACGATCGGCATATCCAGGATGTCATCCCGCTCCCTGTCGGTCAGGTTAGCGAGACTGAGCCATCGCGCTCGCTCCTGGATGACGAGGGTTGCCATCGCCTTCCCTGTGGCCTGGACCGCGACACGTTGGATACGGAGAGACAGGTCCGCGATGACCGCCATCTCCTCCCACGCATCCGGGTCTTGCTCCTCAGCAGACGCGCCAAACAACTCCGCTTGGTGGGCAGTGAGGATGGAGAGGGCGCTGAGGGCTCTGGCCGAGAGGGCTGCTGCTTTGTATGCCTTTTCGGTCAGCGCAGACTGAAACCGTTCGGGCTTAGCTGGCAGCGTCGGGCGTCGGGCGTCTGCAGACAGCTGGCTCACGCTGCCTGGGCAGAGGTGCGCAGCTACCGGGACTTCCACCGGAGGCATGGAGAGGAGGCCGTGGGCGTCCATCGCCTCGCAGTCGAGGGATGCTGCGCCCGAAATAGGGCTCCTGTTGCTGTATGGGCAGCTAGTCCATGTTTTCGAGAGCTCCGTCAGCAACTCGGGGAAGACAGGGAGAAGCTGCTTCACCGCATTTCGTGCCAGGGGAAGCCGTTTGCCTTCGTAGCGGGACCGGGTGGGCTCCGCTATTGCGACCGGCCAGGGAATCTCCAGCTTCTCTGCCGCGCGTTTGCACACGTCGAGCAGGTCCACATGGAGGGAGGGAGCTGGTGAGCTCGCTCCCCTGTCTTCCTTGGCGGAAGGGCACGGCGGTTTAGGCCTCTCAGGCTGTGCTGGGGCCATGAAGGTGTCATCCTCTTCCTCGTCCTCTGATATGAGGAACGAGGTGTCGTCATCCTCCTCCATGGGGCTGACTTCCAGCACGTCTTCCTCGGGAAACGGGGGGGCATGGAGCTGCTCGCACTGGGCACCCCAGTCATAGTCAGTCTCCGGAGCTTCCCCAGCTGTGTCCACGTCCTCCTCCGCGGCTGCACCTTGTGCGGCGGTGGGGAGGAATGGGTCACACTCCGAGACGCTAACCTGGCGGGCTAGCCTGCGTCTGAGGCTCTTAACCGTGAACACTTTGCAGTGTCCACAGGAGCCGGGAATTTCTAGGGCCAACCTGGCGTGGTCGACTCCCAGACAGGTACTGCACACCGGGTGGGTGTCCTTCCCTGAAATTTTATTCCCGCAGCCACAAAGACGGTAGTCTCCCCTGGCGTGGGGGTTTTGGACGGCCGCCATTTCCCGACGAGCTGGAGTGCTGGTAGGGAAAGGAACCGTAGCTAGCTGGCGTGCTAGCGTGGCGGGGTCGAGGAAGTAGCTGGTGTGCTAAATGCTCGTCCGACTCGAGCGTCCGTGGAGGGGAGCCGAGAGGGATTCCGCCGTGAAGAGAGACAAAAGGATACCGGTCCGGTCTGGAGTGAGCGGACAGGGCAGAAGCCAGAGCACAGTGCTAGCGTCCGGCGACGGAAACTAGCAAGGTCCGTCTGTGGGCAGTTAAGCTAGCGAAGGCTCCGACGTGAGATAAGCTCTCAGGTGAGAAGAGGTTTTGAATTGGAGTGCCGTGATCCGCACACGCTTTAGTAGTCGGAGCTACGGGGCGTGGCGTATGACGGGCACTTCCACCGGCCAATCAGGATTGGCAGATTGAGATAGATGCTTCTATCAGGGCTGC